GCGCTGTGTGCGATGGCAGTGCGCTAAGCGAGTGCCGACGACACGAGCGCGCCAGACAGTGCGGTCGTAGTCGACATGGCAGCAGACTACGACGAGTGACTGTCGACGGGTGGATCGGCGGGTTGGAAGGAGAGTGTAGTGATAGAGAGTGGAAAAGTGTGGAAACACGGGCGATAGAGACGAACAGAGAACCTATTGAGATAAAGTCTTCGTGAACGAAGAGAGCGCGCTGACTCGCTCGCGTCGCTTCGAGCGCGCTCAAAAATAGAACGCGGTTACATTGCGAGCGAGTGCAAAAAGAAGAGGAGGCGAGAAAGAGAGAGTGCTGGAGAGAGAGAAGAGCGGCTGACGGTTTAAGGCGGTCATAGAATGTCGCGCATATCGCTCAACAAGTCGCAGTACGGCTCGCGTCGCGTCCGCAAGATCAGTTCGGTATGTTTTGCATATGAGCAAAAGCATGGCCGCATGGTGTTGTCGGTTATAAGCGCAGATCCGTTCCACCTTCCTTTCTCTTTTCCTTCTTTTCTTTTTTCTTTCTCCTCTTATTCTTTTCTGCTCCGTTTTGTCGTTATTGAAAATTGTGATCTCGTTTTCTACGTAATTTTGTGTATTGTCAAATAGCGAGGTAGCCAATAATTGTTATATATGTGTAAAACAAAAATTCCAAAGATTGAAAGTCTGTAGGAAAAAATAAAATGTCTCTTATATACGTGTTTAAAAATATCTCGTAGATTTTTTTGCATTCGAGTATAAATATTTAAATATCAGACGATTAGACTTTGTGACTAATGAAAAATTCCTTGTAAATGCTGCATCCAAAGTAATAACAGGAAGTTCATAACATTCAATTTATTTCTATTTTATTATGTTACTGAGCGTTATCAACGCAATTCCACGTATTTCAAACAGTTGCTCCAATAATTCGCATGCATTTTATAACGTCTCTCAGCTCAACAGAAGCATTTGCGCCGTGCCGGATGATGATCAGTCTTTATACGTCATCTATAATTATTGGCGCGTATCTTTTTCTGAGAAGGCAACTCGCGTGACTTAGCCTTGGCTGTCAAGGCGGCTGATCGTCGTCCGTGAGGAGAGGTTACGCCGTTGTATTCGCACGCACTGTCGTACGCATTTTGTGTACGCATTACAATGGTGCGTATGCATGCATGCATGACGCTAATACTGTGCTGAAAACGACAAGGTCGTGCTCGATTCTCTCGCGGAAAGCTTTACGCCTCTCGTTGTAGTGTGGCGCGATCAGAATGACAGCGCGCGATCAGCTGATCAGCTGTGACCTTCTGTTCGGCCAAGTCATGCGCGCGCGCGTTGCATTTAAATTCGTCTTCACAGTAGTCGAGGTCGTTGATCCAAATTCATAATAATGGATCGTAATGATTCTGCGCCTCGCGATGAGATTAGAAGAAAATAACGCGCAACAATGATGCAACTATCTATGAAAAATTATTTTCAGAAAATATCAGTTGAGATTCTGTATGACTTTTGATCATTTTTCGTATCAAGTAAATTAGGAAAGCATTTAGAGCAATTTGACAAGAGTACAAGTTAGCAAAGATTATTCTGCTAACATTATTTATTAATAATCAAAAGAATTATATGTTTATTTACTTTAATTGTTCATTCTAGTATTGTTTGCTTTCATTGATTCTCATGGCTCAATAACCTCGTGTAATTAACGTAACCAACACCTGCTGAAATGTCGCCGATTAGTTGCATCGCGTGGGCGTGGCTCGATATTTCCCCTCTAGATTATCTTAGTATTAATATCTTGATATTAATAAGCTGTTTTTTTATCACATATAAAAAAGATAGTAGATAATTGCACGTAATTATCAGAGTGAATACTTCAGTGAATCGACAGTATCAGATTAAGTCATATGAGATAACATCAAAGAACAACATATCTAATTATAATTGCGCAGCTTCAATAAAACAGGCTGAAACTCTCATAAAAATCGATAGAATAAAATCTCGAAAGCATGTTTTGCAAACCATCCTTTGAAATTGTATTTTTCTTTAAAGCTTTTGACACTTGGGTAGCTGTTAGCAATTTTAATAATAAATAATATTCTAGAAAATATTACATTTTATATATATATGTGTCATATAAGAAAATATATTTTAAAAGTTTACCGACTAATTCAAGATGTCATTGATGAATCGCATGATAAAAATTTAACGTTTAATCACATTTGCGGAAAATGTAGCTTGACAACCGTCTCTTTATCCGATCTTAACGTTGCATTCTATATGAGCGATATATCACCTTGACTAGAGAGTAGTCTTAGAGATTAAATCATGATAGCTATTTAATATCTATGCTAGCGTTTGCGTTATGAGATCACCCTATAACACGCGACACTCCATTCTAACGTTACCGTGATAATTTCAAAACTGGTGTTCATCCTTGTCAGATTAACAAAATCGTCGAGCACACGATTTTGCATGCGTGCAAATTCTCGGATTTCTCCTCTCGTAATGAGAATCAAAATTATTTCTCTTGCTTTTTTTAATGCCTTTTCTTTGGAATTTTTTTAGACATGTATTATAATGTAACACATGTGAAAAATAGAAGAAAGAGAATACAAGATTTAGAAATTATAGACAAGTATTTTATATGTGTGCAAATCCTCGCAAATTTCTCTTCTCCTAATGAGACTCGAGAGTTATTTCTCTTTCTTTTAATGTCTTTTTTCTTTGAAATTTTTTTAGACATGTATTGTAATGTAACGCGTATTTTTACATGTAATGTAACACATGTTTTTACAGAATTATTCCGTAACAAATTTATGTGTTTCTCGTTAGGGTTCTTCTTCTTCTCACATCATGTATTGTATGTATTGTCAAATTTTTTTAGACATCTGTACATAGAATGTTCTGTAAGAACATGTGTTACATTACAATACATGTCTAAAAAACTTCGACAATACATGATGTGAGAAGAAGAAGAACCCTAACGAGAAAAACATAAATTTGTTATGGAATGATAATAATAATAATAAATTTTGCTTTCGCCAATTTTAAGTTATTAGCATTTTTCTTGGAAAAATGATGCATATGCGTGCAATATAAATGATAAAAAATTGTTTTTATTTCGTAAATGTGATTAGAAAATAAGTACTTGTTTGCGTATTGACACGAAAAGAGACATTTTCCTAGAACATTCAAGGTGAACGGCAAATCTTACTCAAGGCGAGTATCACGCATTCACGCTGCAGGATATAAAATAATCCTTAATTACATAGATTTGTTTTGTTGTTTTTTCTATAAAACTATTAGCAGTATATGCCAGTAAAATCCAGATGTATGTCACCATGTTGCCATATGGTATACACACGGTTATCATACATTTCTCTAATACTGCATTAAATTATTACAATCTGAAAAGCTTGAATTGCATGCGCAGTAAGGAATGCATATAAATCGTACATGTAATAATCAAACGTGTCGTATGTTAACAATATAAATGCAAAATAAGACAAGAAAAATTATAACATAAAATATGAGCAAAAAATAAACAGCTAAAATTAATATCTACTATTTTTTTTACTTGCAAATATTTTTCTTTGTATCGTTTTCGTCGTCGCATCGATGCAGCGGCGGCGCTATGTATTTTATAAATTTGTACAAAAAATAACGGATTATTATCACGTTATATTGTTTTCTTTTCAGACGGAGAGCGAATATTCTGTAGAAGAACAATCGAGATTAACGGGGACCGATGCAGCGGGTGGCGATGAAGCCTCGCCAGAAGATGAGGGAGGCTCGCTTTGCGAATATCACGATATACCACCTCCCCCAGACGGTGGTTATGGTTGGGTGGTGGTATTTGCCTCGTTTATGTGTAATATGATAGTAGATGGTATCGCCTACACGTTCGGTGTATTTCTTGGAGAATTCGTTAAGTACTTTGGGGAGGGAAAAGGCAAGACTGCTTGGGTTGGCTCGTTGCTGTCTGGAATGTACCTTAGTGCTGGTAAGATATGAACAGATATCTTTGAAATTTTCTTTCAGAAAATAAAATGCATTATTATTGGAAAATATTTAATGATAAGATAAGATAAAATAAAAATATTTTAATAATGAGAAATTTAATCTTTTCTTAGTAAAACTCGTTTAAAAATCGATATTTGTATAATTATTAAAATATTTAATATATCAAAGTTCGAGAAAAATCTCATCTTTCAATCAATATGTATTCTATCTCAATAGAAAATGAAATATTTTTCGATATCACTAATAGTTTCGAAGTTATTGGAACGGATTGATTTTAATGGGATATCTTGTGGATATATATTAATATTGATATATTAATTTTGCTGGTATTCTCCTCCTCGCAGGTCCCGTTGTCAGTGCTTTAACAAATAAATATGGCTGCAGAGCAGTATGTATGGCAGGAAGTTTCTTAGGCGCTGCCGCATTTGTACTTTCAACGTTTTCGGACAATGTAAATACGCTTATGATGACTTACGGAATTATGGGAGGTAATAAATAAAATCACATTCGCAGCACTTGTGACCTTTGCGCTTCGCCAATTTCGAATTCTTGACGTCTTTACGTTCTTATAGGGATTGGATTCGGTTTAATATATCTACCCGCAGTAGTTTGCGTAGGCTATTACTTTGAAACCAAAAGATCCTTGGCCACCGGCATTGCGGTATGCGGTTCGGGATTCGGAACGTTCGCGTTCGCGCCTCTCGCGACTATGTTGCTGGAGGCGTACAGCTGGAAGGGAGCAAATTTAATTCTGGCTGGTCTCATCTTAAATTGTGCAGTAAGTAAACAAGAAATTTCTCAAGCTTGCTGCTTTCGCTGCCGGATAATACAACACTTTACGAGATTACTCGAGACGGCACATCTCGTATATCTGATAATTCTAATAGATGATTTTTAGGTGTTTGGCGCTATGATGAGACCACTGGAATATCCGAAAACTTCTTCTGTTAAGCCATTGTTGCAAAGAATGGCCGAGGAAAAGAGGTTTCAAATGGAACGGGGCAGTATCGGTGGTTCCTACTTTATGGTACAACTTCCGGACGGATCGATGGAAAAGAGAATGAAAATGCCCATTAATATTGATCCCGGTGTTCATTCCAGCTTCAACTTAGACCAATTAGTGCCTGGTAAGAAACTCGTCGGTGATCGATAACGCTTTGAATATATTCCGATGATTATTTGAGCGATACAAGTCACAAATATAAAAAAATTAATAGTTAATCTTTGTTTTATACAATTGTAACACTTGTATTAATACTATTAGAGAATGAAGTAAAAATATTTCGGTTATGGTCAGTGAAATAAAGCCCCCCGCGGCGCTGTGGGCATTAAGATAACTTAAACTGTTTGCCATTTCTTTGTTCGGTAATAAACCCCACATGGGTTTTACGAGAGGGAAAGCCGACACAGTGGGACGTATGCTTTAACGTGCCGGCTTCCTTTTGAAATACTATATTGTGTTATCTGAAAACCAATATGCGTAGGCAGGTTTCAATAGTAATATCAACATTTTTTAAATACGGGAAAAATAAATTCATAAATAAAATTATAAATTATCAACAAGCAAATAAAATCACACAGCAAGGCTTTATTTGAAAATCCAAATATATGACTTGTACAATTTTCACTGGCACGTACGTTCTTTGTGTATCGAAATGAGATAGGGTGTGTAACTTCATTGAATACCCGTAACATTAAAGGAACTCCTTTAACACCAGTTCCAACGGTGCCAACCCTTCCCACTATATCCGAAGTGAAGGTGCAAGAGCACTCTTCCAGTGGACATACCAGCGACAGCGGCAGCATGGACTTGAAGAATATTTCCAATAAATCTAAAAGCAAGAAGAATATCGACGAAACCAAAGACGCGAAGGACGCGGAGAAGCCTGAGAACGAATTTAACAAGACGATAATCCCCAGGAACGCATCGCAGCCGGCTTTCACGACCCACGTTCAAGGTTTGCCTAAAAACGGCTCTGTGCCATTCTTTGATAGGATCCGTAAAACGAGTACCAGCGAGCGCTACAAGCCTAGCCTTAGTGCAATAAAGAACTCTAGGACAACGCTTAATTCTAATGGAGATATCCGGAAGAGTCTGCACTTGAGACTTTCCACGAGCAGTATGTTGGGATCGCGAAATAATAACGCTGAAGTTGACGTAAGTGATTTACAGATTCGAATATTTCGTCAAACGTGACGACTTTAAATTCATATTACATATTCTATATCGCGCGACCTTTGTTTATTCTAGGATGGTGAGAGTATCACTTTTACTACCAGTAAAACTAGCATCCCAAAGGAGAAACCAATGATGGTCCGTCCCTTGTCGAGAAAAGATATTTTCTACAGTGGTAGCGTAGTCAATTTACCAGAATACCAAAGCCAGAAATCCCTCGCTAATTACCGTCAGAGCGTTATATCCATCCCGAAATCCGTACGCGGTGACATGAAAGATGTTGATATTGAAAAAGCGCCACAACGTATGTATAAATATATCTTCTTTGACATAACTTAATCGATATTGCTAAATTTCAGAATAAGAAATAAGAAAAATTTTAATTTTAGAACCTTTGTGCCCTTGCTTGGTATTACCCGACTCGTTTAAGGAAGCTCTGGCAACCATGATGGATATGTCGTTGTTGAAAGATCCCGTTTTCCTTTTAATTGGCATCAGCAATGTATTTGGTATGGCTGGATTGTACGTTCCTTTTGTATACTTGGTGGATGCAGCAGTCTTAGACGTACGTTCATGTTTAATTATTACTTTTAAACTTATGAGATTGTTGCGCAACGTACAACAACTGTATATATTCAACGATATCGATTTTTTTTTCAGGGAATTGAAAGAAATTCGGCGTCATTTTTGCTATCTATCATTGGAATAACAAACACCATAGGCCGTGTCGCTTGTGGATATGTTGCGGACTTTCCGCAAGTCGATTCCTTATTACTGAACAACATTTGCTTAATTATATCTACGGTCGCAGTAGCTGCTACGCCATTTTGCCACAGTTATGCCGCTTATATTGTCATGAGCATATTTTTCGGAATAGCAATATGTAAGTATTTCTACTATGCAACTCTACGTAACATATCTACCTATTTAACAACTGCGTTTATTGTTTTGACTAGCAAGACTCGACTGTAAAAATTTAATATTGAGCATTTTTATATGATGGAAATTTCAGCTGGATATATCTCACTAACATCGATCATCTTGGTGGATCTTCTGGGATTAGACAAGTTAACGAATGCTTTCGGCCTTTTAATTCTATTCAGAGGAGCTGCCGCTATAGTGGGTTCACCCTTAGCGGGCGCTGTTTATGATGCGACGGAAAGTTACAGTATCCCGTTCTTTATGGCAGGGTTTTTCTTCCTTGTAAGCACTGTTACTAGTTTCATGGCCCCTGCTATGAAACGGTGCACTACACCGCAGGTAAGGCCGCCCTTCCGATATTAATTCTCCGTCCGTTTACTTTGATTTATTTTGTGACATCTAGTATAATTATTTCATTCACCGTAACACGCGTTAATTAAACAAGTACAATTTCAAATTTTACACCTATAATTCGTGAAACTTCTAATAAATAATACTTTCCGTTCGTATTACAGCGAATAATAAATCAACAAATTATTCTACTTGTTGCAGACTCAACCTGTGATATTAGATACATTGACTCCAATCGACGAAGATATCGAGGAAGAGAACGAGGAGGACATACCGGAGATAATAGAAACTGCGCCATCACCCTTAGAGCCACCCGAGAAGGAAATTAAGCAAATAGAGTCTGTTTTATAAGTATTTCTGATCTTTCTTAAACGGATAAAAATCGCCTTCACTCCGAGCCACACTGTGATAGGGCTGCTATTTTGAAGTCTCAGAAAGGTACTTTTTTCTTACACACTTAATCGATAAAGCACAAATTAGTGGCATACCTGGTGGAATTTTTATCGTACTTAAAATTAGGCTTGTATGTATGTTTTCTTGTTTTTTTGTTTTTTCTTCTTTTGTTCGTTTTTCTTATTAAACTGATAAACGATATACGAAAATGCCATCAGGTACAGATACTTAGTTGCCTATATGTAATAGTAAATGATAGAAAGAGCGTTTTACTAACTTAATCAGTATCGATCAAGCAGTATATATTTAGAGAGAAAAAATGTTAAATTAAAAAAAATGCTCTTGCACGTGCATATCGAGTAATCTTTAACAAATTATGAACCTACATCATAGGAATATATCGTATAATTTTGGAACAAGGATCGGTCAATTCGCCGCTGATTAGACATTCGCCTGAATCATGACATTTATCGATGTATATAGAAATACGAATAATCTAGGGCGATAATACTTTATTACCTTTACATACTCTATCAATTACTGTAATATACTAACAAGGAGACAATGTATTTTCATTCTTATTAATTCTAATATACATGTATTTTTTTATTTTACGGAAGCAACTCGTATACGAAACAACGATAATGTTTTTTTAGTCTAATCAACGTACGCTACGATTGACCATCCTTGATCGAGAAGATCCCACCTATGACTCGTGTTAGTTAAATCTATTTTTGGCCGCATCCAAAGAAAAAACTTGAATTATTCACAATTCAGAGAGATATTTTTTTGCATATGCTTGCGACAAATGTGTACATATAAGTGAAAGGAAGATGAATTATTAATTTACACGCAACAAATGTATCTCTGTTGTGCAGGATGAACTGTAAATAATTTATAGAGAATTATAAAATGATAATAACAAACTCTAGAATTAAGCCAAGTGAAGTTATGAGTTTTCCGCTCGCTGGAGAGCGAAACTTTACGATTAATGTATTCGTCAAGGGACAATTAACGCATTGTTAGATAGAATTAATATATTGATTACTCGGAATAGAGAATCTTTATTTGATTAATGTATAAAAGAAACTCGTCTGCTACAACTAATTTGTGTAAATGGATTTTATCATTTAGTTGACGGAATTGACTGCATCAAGCAGATTAGCAGTTACGAATCACATATTTTAAGTGATGCAAAATTAATTCGCATTGATGTGTCCCATGCGATGCGAAGCGCAATTATAAGCGTGCGAGTTACATGTAAGTAACTAATTTTATTACGGCGGCGAAGATCATTACTGGATCGATATAATTGATGAATATACGCCTACAGAGACATACATGTACGCATATTATTATGTATGTAATTTTCAATATACATACACACGCGTACACGTGTAGACAGAGGAGCTCGTTGTAAATCTTGTTGAGTGGTAAACATACGCGTTACACTGTGTACATTGTACATACATACGTCGATACTGTAACAATTACAACTGCGAATATTGTGACTATCGTCACGAGCGCGATATTATACGAGAAAAACAAAGAATAAGAAAAGGAAGAATTGTTGCTGCATCGACGACGAAAACCAACCGTGCTATTACTGTTCGCCACCGCTGCTGCTATATCGCTAACTATCGCCACCTATCACGATTAAAATATTACCGTAGTACAATTATGTAAACGCACGTTACTTACACTTCGTTTTACGATCGTGCTGTGCGATGGAGGAAGCTGTGTGTGTTTTGTGGTTTTAATCAAACACGACTGTAGCATACATATGTGTAGGAAGGTGTGTGTACACACGCGCGCCGCGACGAAAATCCCGCAGAGTTATGTTATATTATTAGATTGTATAAATAATATCAACGCGCGCGTGCTTGCGTGACATTTCGCACGCGTATGTTCAATATGTATGTATGCTTGAGACGTACAAGGCGGAACTTTACGTGCGTTAGATGTACAGTGGCATGTGTGCGATATGCATGCTTATACGCAGAGAAATATTGTGGCGTCGCAACGAGAACACGCGATATACTAATGAATATTGATATTGTCAAGTATCGATATTCGACACATCTCAATATTGGTCGTCTCGCAAACAACATTATTTCCAAATTTTTATTTACGAGCATGTAAAATAAATCCTCGCTAAAGCAATTAAAATGATTGTAAGGGAGTCCTATTGCCGCTGCACCGATGGCTGAAGCAACCTCTTTTTTATACATACTATATAAAATACTATGTACAATGAAAACACATTTTTGATATTTGTGGAATAAGACTTTTTCTAAAGTACGCGAATATTTTTTAAAAGTCCGGATCCAGCTGGGGACACCAGTGTGATGTTTTAGAGAACTAAGCAAGAGCGTAGCACCGCCAGTAGATAGAGCGTTTAGCGTGAGCATAATATTGTCATGGCTACTAAATACATTAGTATAGTTGATACGAATGTTAAACGCGCAATCGCTAATACACAATTATGTAATGTGATAAACATATTGTTGCCGCCGCCACACTGTTCTCTCCGTGTACGAGCGTGAAAAAGGAACGCGCACGTTCTATTCTGTGCACAGATTAAACATATGACATGGTACAAAGAAGGACAAATGTATTAGGTGATGTTTATCGAAATTGAAGAGGAATTATGAATTTTTATTACTAAAACACCGGCTCTTTTATTTCTTGCATGCATATACCTCACACATCCAAAACTGAAAAATCGTTACTAACGCGCCTACTTCGACTCTCGCGTCAAATCGAGTCCGCGATTCTCACATGTAAATATCGATTATAATTACTTTATTGCATGTAAATGACAGATTTAAAAGTAAATTTTTATGAATAAACTTGTTTTGCTTTACATTGCGTTACCGCAATACATCGCGTGTTTTACTTCTGACGAATAAGACACACATACTTATAGTGATTGCAATGTCAGAAGGGAAAATTTATTCTGGCAGTGTGTGTATCGTTAGTTTTTTCGCGTGTCATGAGATTTGTGTTCGATAGAATACGCTCATAGAATACTGGAGATTTTCTTGCCAGAGTTTATGGTCGAATAAATAATTATAAAACCTTCGTCGACTGTTGCAACATCATACAACTGTCAAACAGATAGATTAAATTATGCGGAAGTTATCAATTAAGAAGAAACAAGGAAAAAATCATGGACGCATTTTTAATAGATGATATGTTAATAAATAATGTCACATAAATTTTTATCATCTCTTGCGCATTGAAAATATTTGATTCTTCAAAGAAGTAACCTTCAGCTACTCGTCTACTACGGAGAGGGGAGAGCGTGTCCCTTTTCTACAATTCATGTGTAGATTAATTATACAATTTTATATCCTTCAAACTTGTCCATAAATCAACTCGCAGTAAAACTAGTTAAATCCGCCTGGTGAGCTATTTTAAGAGCACCAGATGCCAGAAACAAAACATTACTACACAACGAAATCGCGATCCCGGTAAATCGGAATGCTTGTTACCAGGAAGTATCCTTAGATACGTATATAAGAACACGTAGTAAAAAATATGCGCATACCAAGACTAAGATGCAATCCGAAGATTGCCAATTTGTTTTTTGCCTTTCCATCTTTTTCTTTTTTCTCCTCTTGCAAACCAAGAGCGTGACGAGAACAGAACGAGAGCAGGTCCGTCGCTCGCATATTATCGGCTCGCACGACCAGCTTTAAGGAAACTCGCACTTTCGTTCAAGTTGCCACTCGCGGAAAATAACATTGGAGGGGGTCCGACGTCGTTAAAGAAATTGCGCAGGAGGTTCAGAAGAAGGCCTTCGCTTCGTTTCGCGCGCGAGTTACAAGTCACCGACTAGTGAACGAGAGAGAATTTTGAGCGGCAGCTCGTCGAATGACTGCGAGCTAACGCACGACTATGGACCTATCTATCTATCCCGTCGTCGGTTCTCAGCACGCGTGAGAGGAAATGTGCAAATAGATATACGCAAGATCGAAGCTACACGCATGGACAAACAATATGGTACCTTGTGGAATTTTTGGACAAGAAAAAGTGAAAAAATCAAACAAACTTCCACGCCTATTTTTGTCACAAACAGCGTGATTTTCAAGAGCTAGTATGGCTTATCTTGAATGAAAATAGTGCGCGCGGTTGAAAGAGCGTTTGTACTCGCGCGCGTGAATTACCGGTAGTGCTGCTGACCGGTTTAGAGAGGAAGCGAAAAAAGCGTCGTCGCCGAAGAAACGGAAGTGCGGAAACGGAAGAGGCTTCAACAGGAACGTATTTACTCATCTGCGTGCTAATTCAGATTGCCGCGGCGAACCTGCAGTTACTTGACAGAACAAAGTGGTAAGTAAGAGTAGGTCGCATGTTGCTATGATAAAGCAATCAACACATGTAGCATATTAGTTGCGATTATAATTCATTCATTTGCATTCATTTCTAATTTAAATGCCAAAGTATGTACATTTCATGTACTAAAGAGAATTTATTTTTGTAAACAACTGCAACTTTTATTTAAAAAATTAAATCCTTGCACTAATAAATCAATAGATTTAATTTTTAAATAAAATATACTATTTAACAATCTTGAAAGAAAAGAAATCTGTAAAAACTGTACTTTACAAACTAAATACAATTTTATTTGTACATATTAAACTAAATCTCATTTTTACAAATAACAAAAAAATTGTCCAATTATTAATTGATTAATTAAAATTATTTAATTTTTATTTAATCTTTATAATTGCCAAACTAAGAATTTTAGTGTAATTTTTTATAATTTGAAAAAAGAAGACATTGAAAAGTTTTTGATTTCTTTTGCTTTCAGAGAATGCGCAAAATTTTAGATTTAATGTTTTCAAAAATAAAAGATGTGAATAAATCAATTTTTTAATGCTCAAGTATGCTTGTATACAAACGGAATCAATTCAAGTCACGATTAATTTAACGAACATTGATTAAAAAGACAAGATTCTCGACATAATCACGCCGCATTCCATGTTGAACGGAATAAAACCAAATAGACGAGAACGTACGCTTTTATGCAGCACAGTCTCATATCACGTGCAACATGTGTATTTATGTCGTCCTTTAATAGCTTTCACGCATATGATTTGTTGGATGTCCTCGCGATTCCAACTGAGCAATTATTTGCCGACGATCGAGCTACGAGGTCGAAATCGTCAGTGAACTTTTTTACCGTTGACGCGTCGCGCCACTATTATCAGTTTTGCGGACATAAAAATGCAAAAACAAGTTACATTCGGCGAGTGGAGAGCGGCGCGCAATCGTACAATCTCCTACTTTAAAACGGGTTATCGGACAGTTGCCCCCAGAATCCTTATCATCGATCAACGGCACTGTTGTATATTTGCGGTGTCTGGATACTTACGGTGTTTTTTCGACTAAACGGATTTGTGAATTAATCTGGAAGCGATTAATGACATCATTGAATCTGTCATGGATTACTAGAAGCCTGATTAAAACTTGGTTTTCAACCAAAGTTTTATAACATGAAAAGTACATTAAACAACAAATATAAAACTTGTCTTTTTCGGTAAGTTTTTAATAAACTAATATCTCAATAAAATGTTCGTGAACCTAGCATATCATTTTCCAGCAGATCAAAAATAAAAGAGAGTTCTTGTCGCATGCAGTCGAGTTCTATAGTTCCTTATAGTTTTTAGTAATAGTTCTGGTGATTTTATCCAAAAAAACACCAATCGAAAAAATGATCTGCTAACTTCCCGTAGCAGATCATTTTCTAGCAGATCAAAAATAAGAGAGAGTTCTTGTCGCATGCAGTCGAGTTCTATAGTTCCTGATAGTTTTTAATGATAGTTCTGGTGATTTTATAAAAAAAACACCGATCGAAAAAAATGATCTGCTACGGAAAGTTAGCAGATAAAAAATAGAGGACACTGAACATATATGTGATATGCTGGCCGTATATTGATAGTTCTGTTGATAATTAAAGAGTTTTCGTATAGTTCTGAGCCAGTACATTGCTTTTCCAAAGAGTTCTGACGACTAAAATAATTAGAAAATTTTTTAACAATTATTTTACCCGAAAAACACGCATTTTTGTACATATATGTGATATGTTGGCCGCATATTGATAGTTCTGCTAAAAATTAGACAGTTCTCTTCTAGTTCTGGGCGAGTACATTGCTTTTCCAAAAAGTTCTGACGACTAAAATAATTAGAAAATTTTTTAAACAATTATTTTACCCGAAAAACACGCATTTTTGTAGTATATGTGTGATATGCTGGCCGTATATTGATAGTTCTGTTAATAATTAAAAAGTTTTCGTGTAGTTCTGGGCAAGTACATTGCTTTTCCAAAGAGTTCTGACGACTAAAATAATTAGAAAATTTTTTAAACAATTAATTATGTTCGTGAACCTAGCATATCATTTTCCAGCAGATCAAAAATAAAAGAGAGTTACTTGTCGCATGCAGTCGAGTTCTATAGTTCCTTATAGTTTTTAGTAATAGTTCTGGTGATTTTATCCAAAAAAACACCAATCGAAAAAATGATCTGCTAACTTCCCGTAGCAGATCATTTTCTAGCAGATCAAAA